TTATCATAAGTGCAAAGCCCGACCTGGCCCATGATCACCCCTAGTGGGAGGGAGAGAGAGACTCCACCTTCAAACTTTAGCAACGACAACAGAGAGAGAAAGAGAGACAGAGAGAGACTCCTCGACCTTCAAATTATAGTAGCAATGAGTCGATGATGGCCTGGTGGTTTGGTTACGTTGATAATAATTACACCCTCTTTTCAAACGCCTACAAAACCCAACCGATGTAATTTTTACATCGATTCTTGATTTACATCGCATCCAAATGCAGCCCCAGTTTAAAGTGGCCCCACAAGGAAAACTTATTAGTTTAGTGAAAAAACTGGAAAGCCTGAAAACGCTTTCATTGGGCCAAATAAATGACTTTCCGGTGAAGTTTCAGGTTTAGTAGCTTTCGTTGTAATTGTTTTCACTATTCCACTTTGAAGAAGCCATAAAAACCAATGTTTTAAAAATTGGCTCGGAATCAAAACCAATTTAGCCATCGGTTTCCAAATCAGTAGTTCAACCATCTAATCTGAATGTATGGTCCATTACAATTTAAAAAAAGAAAACAAAAATAACCAAAAATAATATTTTTGGTCAAACGAATTGATGGTTCAATTGCTTGGGTTAGCGGGTCGCTGATTAAGTCAATGGTTTTTGGCAAAATTTCAATCTGAGATCAAATTGAACTAGTTGATTGGGATATTTTCGGGCTGAATGGTTTGACCATCTGGGCCAATGATGGTTCAAAAATCATCTGCTGGAAACTCGAAAAGAAGAAATGACTTTTCTATGAAGTTGGTTTAGCAGCTTTGATTGGAGTTGCTTTCACTAATTCACTTTGAAGAGGCTATAAAAAACCAGCTTTACCGGAAAGACGATTTCTTGGCTGAAGGAAAGTGCTTTCATTCGGCCAATAAAATGACTTTCTAATGAAGTTGGTTTAGCAACTTTAATTGAGTTGCTTTCACTAACCCACTCTAAAAAATCTATAAAAACCAGCTTCACCACAAAGATTTATTATTGGTTGAAGGAAAAAACATTTAGGATTATGGGTTTTCTAACCAAACAAAGCTTCTAAAGTTCTAAGTTTTCTATATGGGGCCCACCATGTAAAGCTAGGAGAAGGTGTGTGAAAGCCCTCCTAATGGGCACAAAATCAGCATTGCAATCAGTCTGTTTGGTGTTGTATGTAGGTACAATGAAACTATGTGCCTGTTTGACAAGTCTTTTTTAAAAGATCTATTACAAGATTTGATAGTTAAAAGACAGGATGAGCTTTTGCAAATAGATATTGGAAGACCAAAGACTGTTTGGTTAAAATGTTTTTGATAGATATAGGAAAGACCATAAAAGATAAAAGACTATTTGGTAATATGATGAAAATATGTGTTATGTATATGAATGTCTTGTATGTGGGCCAATAAACCTTTCATTTAACACGTAGGACCCACATACATTTCCTAAGGTGGGCCCCACATACCATTGGTGGACATGTATGCGGGACCCACATATTTTTCAAGGTGGGTCCCACATACTATTGGTAGACATGTATGTAGGACTCATGTACATTTTACAATGTGGGCCCGACATATCATTGGTGAACATGCATGTAGGGTCTATGTCTGGACATGTATGTGGGGTCTACATACATTTTTTAAGGTGGGCCCCACACACCATTGGTGGACATATATACAGGGTCCATGTGTGGACAGGTATTTGTTAAAATGAAACTATAGGGGCGGCTTTTATATTTTACCCAAAATTTTGTAATAATAAAAAGAACATATAAAACAATTTTTAGAGCCTGATCCATTTAGAACTCATTAAGAAGGTTTCAAATGAATTGTGAGACCCAATAGGTGACTAGGACTGGTTTCTAATGTGGCAAATAAATCCTAAACCAAGCTAAGACTCCCTTTGAGAGAATGAATGCATGAGGTAGTTGAATTTGATGTTTTTCTTCCAATGGTAATGAAAAACAAAGGTCAATAGAACTTTTGATTTTTCAAATCCTTAACCATGAAAGATGACCTCTAGGCAGTTTAAGCTCTATAAATCTATACTACTATTAAAGGTATGAATAGTGGTGTGTTGACTTGGTAATTGGATTAAGTGCAAGGATTTAAATATCGATAAGATACACCTATTACGGGGCATATCGTATCGGTCCATATCGATGTACATATGTCCAATACAATGTGATATGAACTAATATGCCATGCAACCGTGCAACCGTGCCTTTTTGTTAAAAATAGATTTTACAAAGGGGAGATTCAAACCTAAGTCTCCCACCACGCCACATGCTTGTGTTTTAAATCAACCCCTAAACCACTAGTTCAACTTAATTCTTGTGTTAATTAGTGAAATAAAATAACTTTTATTAAATATTGTATATACATACTAAGTGTAATCTAAATAAATAACAAATATTTATGTTTAACAATTCCTACTAAAAATTGAAAGAATAATATTAAAAATTGTGATTTTATAAACTAATAGAATAAACAAATAAATAATCTATCAAATTCACATTAAAATCAAAAAATTATTTTGATCTCAAGAAATTTATGCAAATAAAAATATTAATAATAGAATAATTATTTTAGTACTTAAAATTAATATATATATATATATATATATCAATTATTAATTATTATTCTAATTTACCTCACATTAAATAACAACATATTAAATATTTACAAATATTTGGGAATATAATATTAAATAGAATCTATAAACTCTACCAATTAAAATTTATACACAAAATGGTTTTTAATTCTAGAAACAAACATACTAAAAATGCAATAATTATATTAGCAATTAAAAAATTGCAACATATATATAATATAATTTTTAATTTTTAATTGCTATATATATATATATATATATATATTCAGTGATTAAGGGGTAATTTATGTCGAATAAAAAATTCTAGAAAACCAGACCCTATTCCCACTAGGTAGGGGTGTACAATCGGTCAGTTTGGTTCGGTTCAGTTTAAACAGGGGACCTAACTGACTATTCGGTTTTACCATTTCTTCTAACTAAACCGAACCGAATTATGTTTTAGAACTAAGCCAACCATAACCGAATTCGGTTCGGTTTGGTTGGACCCTGGTTCCACATAAATGACAAGCATTGAAAAGTTAAAATTGCTCCAAAACCCAATGGTTTTAATTAATTAATTATTAACTATTATTATTTAAAAGTTAGAATGATCCCAAAGCTCAATGGTTTTAATTAATTAGCTATTATTAATTAAAAGCTAAAATAAGCCCAAAGCCCTACGCCAATGGGGAATTGGGAATTGGCCATTTTCCAAAGTAATTAATGATTAATGAACAATTAATGACTAATAAGCAATTAATAATGAGTCTAGGTTTTAAGTAACTATTATTAGTTGTTTATTGGAAAATATAATAATTAATTAGTATAAAGTATTAAATAAAACATTAATGTTTAATATATTTAATTAAATAACGACATTAATTCGACTTTTGGTTTGGTTTGGTTGAAAATTTCAGTCAACCCAAATTAAAACCGAAAATCGATTTTTTTTTTTAAATAAAAACCAAACCGAACCGATAGTTGAATTAATCGAACCGAATTAGTTTATTCGATTTAATTTGGCTTGATTTTCGGTTTATCAACCAAATTTGAACACTCCTACCACTAGGGGTTGGCCAGTCAACTTACATTTAAATTTGACATACCTGTATATATGTATATGAAAAGATATGCTTATATGTATATATAATGTATAGTTTAGTTGGACAAGTTCACATCGGCGCAAGGTGGGGGTGAGGTCAGGCCAATTAGGCCCAGGCCTAATTTAAAAAATAATAAGCAAGCCTAACGTTTTGAGCTAGATCCATTCCAAGGACCACAAATCCAAGTCCAACTCAAGTTGTGGGCCGGGTGGTTTGGGCTCAGGTTAATTTGACCAAGTTGCACTCAATAATCATGCCTTATCTTGGTAATACAGCTATAGAGTGGGCCAGCATAGCCCGGTAATTATATCAATTGGGACGTGCTGGACTTGGGTAGGAGACCAGATCTGCTCCTCTTACATGGCGCCTCACACCACCTTATATGCGCATCATACCATGCATAGTTTCTAATGCAGGGTGGATGTGCATGTGAGGCACCCAAGTGTGAATCGGGAGATGTTCCCAATGCATAGTAGGATATGCGTGTGAGGCGCCCTCTGTGAAAAGCAGATCCGATAGTGCAATAACATGTTGGCATGACACAACATTGCGCACACATACATTTATTTATATATAATATATTAATATACAAATATATGTATTATAATGTGTTGCTTTCAATATTATTATACTATTTTTATTTCAATTTGTTTTTTGTAATTGTTTCTTCAATTTCATTTTGTTATTTATATATATTAAAATTCATATAGAATAAAATTTTATATTTTCAATTTTTTTCTATCTTGTTAATTTATTTTAATATTTTTCGTTATTCTTTTAATTTTTCTAAAAATATCATACTGCCCACGAGTCCACGGTACGACTGACCATGGGCCCCTCTAGGCTTGTGACACGGACTGTGCTAGGCTTCCCTTTTTGAGGGGTTTCGGGCCAAACAGGCACGACCCACAAAACGAAATTGGATTCAGTCCGAGTCCGGATCACCTACTAATAAAATACCTTTCAATCCTCCACCAACATAATCTCACCCCGCACATCTCATACATGACCGTACTCACACTCACTTGAAACCGTGTATTATGCTTTTAATGGCTGAGGACAGTGTGAAGACGGTATTGTAAGGACTGAGGAGTGGATCCGAATTCCGCAAAAACACCTCTACGGCTGTACCTGATAAGGCTGAATGGCTGATAAGTGATGTAACCAATCAACCTGTATTCATTAAAGTTTACGTATAGGGTTTTCAAGTGTCATCCTTTTTTAGGTATCATAAAAATTGCTTACTAAAAAAGAAAAAAAGAAAATTACAATATTGTTTTCCCTCGTTTTTAAACCAAATTTAAATTTCAAAATGGAGCCGAACAATCAAACAACCAAACAAACAATCTCGCGTTCCACAAATGGAAAGCTGAAAAAGAATCCGCTCCGACTCGTCATCTTCGCTTGTCTTCGTTTCCTCTTCTTTTGTCGGCTTGTCCCCCCCTCTCTCTAGGTCTCAGTCTTGGCTACTCTAATCTCTCCGATTTATGATATGTGCTTTCGGTTTGATCGTGTTCCAGGGTTTATCTTTAGATTGTTGAGAAAGATGGGGTGTTTCTTTGGTTGTTTTCGAATTAAAGATGCAGACCGGTCTCAATCTCATATCATTTCTGATTCAGTTGCTTCAAAGGGCAAGGTAGTCTTTTTTTTATTGTTTATTTTGTTTCAATTCTGTAGTTACACGTCTTCTTAGTATTGGATTTTTTAAGTAGATGAAGAATGTATCCTTTTTTTCTGCTTATTAGTTTGTGAATGCATGCGTGATTTCTTGTTGGTTTCGTTTAATCTAGCAGGGTGGTTCCATTGCATCGAGAAATCAACTCTCATCTTTACTTCTATCTGAAGGTAAAAACTGATGTTGGAAATTGAGGGTATCGAATTGTTTGTGATTTGGATTTCACCCCTGTTTTGTAATTAGGATCTATCTTGTGAGGTATTTGTTAGTGTAAAACTGCATTTGAGGTGATCTTGATTCATACTTTTATTTTGCCATTTTGGTAATTCTTACTTTCTATCAACTATGGAATTTCTGATTATTTAAATGAACTTTTCCTTCATCTGTGGAGTATCTGATCATTTAAATTAAAATTTTCTTCATCTGTTTGTTTTTGTACATTTTCCATAAAGTATTTTATAGTAGTACAGCTGAATGGACTTCTATTTTTTTTTTCTTCTTAAAGAGAAAGAAGGTTTTCCTTGCGAGGATCTGGAGAATCATAATCCGGGATCTCCACTGCCTGATGTTTATGGAGATGGTGATGTCAGGGAGCTCAAGGATGAGGTGTGAGTTGTCTTTATTTATGCCGTTAGATTTTTTGCAAACCTTTTGGTATCTGTAGCTTGTTCTGCTTTAAAAATTGCACTTTGAGAGAGAATACATGTTTCTGTGATCATGTTCTAACTGGTAAACAACTAACAAAATATAGTTTTGTTTGGTTACATGGAAGTTAAATAATAATGCATTTATTGAGCCTTGAAGTTTTGAAGATATTCTAAAGCAAGCATAAATTCATATTTAAAATTTATTTATTTCTCGTCAGATTAATTTCACAAGGTGTAGATTACACTACAGTAAGTGTGATATTGCATTTCCTTTTCCTTGATGTGTTCCTTAGGTGCTCTACTACTCTAATGTATTATGATAGAACGGTGATTTTAGTAGATACTTTAAGTATTTACTTTTTTTTTTTCTTTTTGGTTGCATTTAATTTCTTGTAAAATGACAGAAAAGTGAATCCTTTCATTGACAAATGATATCCAAATTCAATATGAAAACAAAACATTTTCCTATTGCTTGATTTATCTTGGAGAATTAGTGCTGTTAATAGGTCTTGACCTGGACCCTACTTAATAAGTGAAAGTGCAAAACCACTTCCAAACCAGACCTATAGGGTCTGCGATTGGGACTATTAGGTTTGACCTGATAGTCCTGATTATAATTGACAGTTATTCCTTTGACAATAACCTAAGTATTTGATAAATTGGCACATTTGGACATCATAATATGGTAATTCTACAGTTATATCATGGTAAAATAGGTATTCTTGTGAAGGAAAAAGTAGGTATCAGATTGAGGTATCTTTGTAATATGCGRATATCATAACCATCATCGTCCAAGCCTTATCCCAACCATATGTGGTCAGATACACGAGTCCTGTTTTTCCATTCCATTCTGTTTATCCATTGWTAAATTCTAGGTGCTTAAATCATTTTTTACTACTTCAATCAGTGTCTTTTTTTGCTTACCCCTAGTCCTTCTAGCCCCTTCAACTTGCAACAAATCACTTCTTATGGGTGTTATTAATGGTCTTCTATGCATGTGATCAAACCATCTCAGTCTATTTTCTCTCATTTTATCACCTCTTGGAGTTATTCCTAGGATTTATCGAATGACTTTATTTTTGATCCTATTCTTTTTAGTTTTTCCACTCATCCATCTAACTGTATGCATTTTTGCCACATTCTGTTTGGTACTGTTGCTCTTTCTTCTTAAACATTTTGGGTTGATCAATACAAATTGGTGAAAAAAATATGCTGTCACATTACATAATATAGTCTTCTCTACTAAAAAATGCATGTGGGGAACTAATCATTGCTATTTAGAGTTGAAGCCTTAAATTTGATGTTTTACCACTAAATGGCAATGACATGCATTTTTTTGTTGAAGTGAGTGTTTAATGTGATGCGGCAAGATAAATGTCTCACCAATTTGTATTGATCAACCCCAAATGTGTCAAGAAGAAACATCAATGGTACCAAACTGTTCAAGCACAACTTTAGTTGTTGGACATGTTTCTTGACCGCCCAATACTTTGCTCCATACAACATACCTGTTCTTACAATTGTTTTATATAATTTTCCTTTTAGATTAAGTAGTATTCACCTATCACATAAAACTTTGGATGCACCCTTTCATTTTGCCCATCCTGCTTTAATTCTATGGATGCAATCCTCCTCAATCTCTCCCTTGTTATGAATTATTGAACCAAGGCATAGGAAAAGGTCACATTGTGTTTATCTCTTGGTCTCCGTTCCTAAGTGAACGATTCACACATTATTATTATTTACCTGTCATATATTCCATATTAGTCCTACTTATAATAAAACTCTTTTTCTAAGACATTTGTCCATAGGCTTAATTTTTTCATTTAATCCTTCATTAGATTCATCAATTAAAACAATGTATCAGCAAACAATGTGCACCATGGGACCATGGATCACCTCTTCAATATGTTTAGCCAATTCATCTATGCTTAGTTCAAATAAATAAGGGCTAGGTGCTGAACCTTGGTGAAGATCCATTGTTATTGTAAACTTTGTTATATCTCTTGGGTGTTTTAACATTGGTTGTTGCACCCTCATACATATCCTTAAGAAGTTTCAAAAAACCACAACGTCTCCGTGTGTATTGACTGATATGTATTAGTTTTTAGTGTCAATGACATGTTTAATATAAATATTAAAAGAATTCATTCTTTTCAAACTCTAATGTGTTATATGATAGATCTCTTGTGAAATTTCTAGACCAAAAAATATAAAAAATAGTTTCAGTCAAATGAAAAATTCAATTTGCATATGGGGAGTATTGATGCTTTGAACCTTAATTAGCTTTCTCTAGGTAAATTAACACCATATGAAGATCTCTCTTTATCTCTTTAAATGTTTCTACCAATTAAATATGCATATACATGATTATATATGCAATTATATATAATCAGTCTTGGGTCTTAATTGTTTTAAAACAACCAAAACTTAAACTAACATAATTACAATAATATTGATCCAAACCCTATATAATTTTCTTGTTTGATTTGGATCTGTCAGACCTACCTGATCCATTGACAACTCTATGGAAAATGAATCTGAATGATTTAATGTCATTAGATTTAATCAGGGGGGGCAAACCCTCACTTCAGAAAATAACTCATGGAAAGATAGAGGGCATGCAGGTTTCCCACAACTACTGCTCAAAATTTCCAAAACATTTCTCAAAGCCATTTTACATGCAACCAAGCACAATATAATAAGTATCATTTTTTGGACAAATCATTTGCTTTCTTTCATTTCACATGCAAGTATGCAACCATATAGAGCCTTGTGCAAGTGAAGTTTCTAAAAATTGTGATATTTTCTTCAACTCAACTCAACTCAACTAAGGACCTGTTCGTTTGCTTTGAAGTCTGACATTTGAAAGTGCAATAACTACATTAAGAGGTCTATTGGTATTGGTGAACTTTTCTTTCCTCTGAACTCTGAATGCAGAGAATGTTGTTCTGAATTCTGAATTCTGAAAATTATCAAATATCCATTTTGACCCCCATATATGAGAGTTTTTGTTTGTCTTTTTGGGGGTATTGTTGGAAAACAAAAAATTGTATGATTGCACTTTAAGAAATAAGAGATAAGAGGAAATAGACAACTACTTTTCTCTTAAAGTTAAAAGATTCCTCTTATGAGGTAAGAGTTAAGAGGAAATGAATAGGCCCTAGGCCTTGATGCCTTGTCCCAACTATACAGGGTTCCACATAATTCCGTTCCCAAAATCCACTATGTTCGGTTCCCTATCCATTTTTAAATTATGGGCCATTTATATATTTAAACAACATTTTCAATCTCCTTTTGATCCCATGAATTGCTTTCCTTTCCATTTAATATTTTGGGTTCGAAGCATACTTGAATGACTTAAGGGGCTTGGTACAAAAGTGGCTTGTAAAATCGGGAATGCATAATGTCTAACCTCACATTGGCTCTTTGAAGTAATGCAATTGGAGACAAAAATAAGGAGGCTGAGAGTTTTTCATGTTGGAATTTGTTTTGCATGTTATACATGGTATTATTTTTGAATTTTCATGTTAGATATGTTTTACATGTTATGCTTATGTATTTTAATTTGAGACAATAGGTTTTTAAAATATTTATTTTAAATTTAAGTTTATATTTTTAATTAATATTATGTTTCATATATATATATATATATTTTTACATTTTTTTGAAAATTTTGGCATTTTTATTTCTTTATTTGCATTTTTGTGCCTTGCTTTGAAAAGGCGTGTGCCTCGTACCTCAGGTGCAAAATGCCCCTTGCACTTTTTTTTGTGCCTTGTGCTTCTAAAACACGGGTTCTGTAATTTTGGCTTTCTTTTTTGAGGGTCACATTCTATATTCAGTTATTGGAATGCCCAATAAGTTTCTGTTTTGTGTTCTTTATATAACGCTTTTTCCCTAACAGGCAAAATTCCTTAAAGCTTGTGGGGCACTTCTTGAAACTCCGGCTGAAATTCGGAAAGCGTCTGAGAAAATCAAAGATGCAGCAATCCACAATGGAGATTCAGAACCTTCCAATTTCCACTCGTGGCTTCCTGGTGCATCTATCAAGAAACTCCAATGGGACGAGCATCCCAATCAGATTTCCATTTCCCCTGTTAAGCTTTGTGAAGAATTGGGAAAGGAATCGGATTCTCAAAATCATACATCTGTCAGGTTAAATTTCTCTATTCAATTCATCATGTGTGAAATAAGATCTATCATCTATGCTTGATTATTAATGTTATGACTAAATTGATTTCACCCATTTATATATGATACATGGAACTCTCCTTAATAGGTAGAAGAAGAAATATGGCAGAAGATTCCTTAAACAAAGTCTGAAACTTGTGGTGACATACCCATTTTTTATTAAGATATGTTCCAGAGAGATCCAACAAACCTTTTTTCTTTTAGTTTTTCCCATATGTATGAGCATCCATTGGTGGACCTCTGGTTTCATTTTCACAAAATTTGTGTAGCTAGCTAATGTTTGACTGTTTTCATTACTTGAAGCAGCATGCCAAAGGGGCAGGAGCTGGTAGGAAGGGACTATACCAGGCATCATGAATGCAGTGAGGTTGAAAATCCTAGTACGGCAATAACATTTCCTCTTCATCCTAGTACTAATGAAACATCCGCATTAGTTACTCCGGAGATACCAGCCATTGCTTCCGAATCTAAAAACAAGTGTGTGCGTTTCAAATGTGAGTTAGATACGGAAAATCTTCCTTCAAATGGAAAAAGCTTGAAATCTAATTCCTCGGGTAGACACAATGAATCAGAGTCTTCTCCTTATCCAACTCCATTAAAACTAACTGATGAGATGCAAACACCTGGAACCATTTATCCAGTAAACCTAGACAAATATGGAAATGGGAATAATGCTCGGATCAGGTCCCAGTATGTTTATCCGGTTCTGAACCCTGTTGAGAATTTTTCTCAGTGGAAAGCACTGAAGGAAGAAGATTTTAGCACCCATCAGGAACAACTTGGTCACACAGGAGACTCTCTTGAGGAGATTGCAAGTGCAGTTCCTGAGTATGCATCTGTTTCTTACTCAAACAAGTTAGAAATGGAACAGGAGAGAGAAAATATGGCTGTCAAGGAGTCAAAGGTTGATGCAAGCTTGTCTCACTGGCTGAAGCCATCATCACCCCCAAAAGATGATGCTGATCAAAATTGTGGGGTTTTCCCGGGTGGAAGATCTTATTCTTCTAAAACTTCTGATGGGGATAGGCCTATTCTTGGAATGGTTGCTGCACACTGGAATGATGAAGAGCCTTCTCGTATCTCATCTAAGTGGTGGGATGGGAATGGGATCCCAAATTCAACTAACAAATACAAAGAGGTACTTCATTATATTTTGTATTGTTCATTTTATATACACCTACTTGCACATGTAGAAGTATACATGTATCTATGCATATATGCATGTATGGTCTCTTAGAGGTTACTAAGGTTTTGAAGGAATGTTATTTTGTTTATAGGACCAGAAAGTCCATTGGCATGCAACACCATTTGAGGAAAGGTTAGAGAAGGCATTATCAGAAGAGAGTCTTGGCTACAAAAGGTGCGCATTGCTACTTATAACACTACTTGAAGTGTGAAGGCATGTTGCAATTTGCAAATAAAAGTTGTGGTTGAACATGTTTTGATGTGTCCAAGGCTCCACCAGAAATACAACCATGTTGGTTGTGTAGTGGTTCATCTATAGGCCACAACCCAGAAATTGTTATCAAATATATGAACCATGTAATTGTATGACAGGTTCAACCCAGAAATTGTTACATCATAATGTAAATGTGAGTTATATACTACCCCAACTTCTATTACTCCAACTCCCTAAGTAGCCCTAACAAATTGAAATTTCAAATTTTAATCTAAAAGCTATTAGAGAAGAGGTTTCTTGCTGGGAAAATTTCAGGTCAATAGTCTCTGCATGTGGCCAAAGAAGCTCTCTTTTATTTCCTACTTAATTTATCAAACTCAATTGATATTTCAACTGCTAGAAATAGGAGCAAAGGTCCAATACATGGTGGAGTGTAGATGCCATCGATTGTTTGTGTTTTTTTAATATACTTACCTCATGATGCAACTATATCATATATGCTTTCTCTAGATCAATGGATGCTAAATAAAGATTTCACCTTCTCTCCAAACTTTTTAATCAACCTTCTCAATAGAAAGATAACTTTCATGGTTGTTTTTCTTGTTGTAAAACCAATTTGGTTTTATACACTTGTTTCATGATGTTACCTTTGCTTCATTACACTCTCCCTAAGTTTCATAATGCATTAATGTGGCTCATCAGTTGAATCTCACAATAATTATTACAACTTTGTATTTTGCCTTTGTTTTAAAATATATGCACCATAGAGCTTTTCTCAAATCATCCAACATCTTTGTTTTGATAAAAAGGGCAGCCCAGTGCATGAGGCTCTTGCCAATGTGGGGTCTAGGGAGGGACAAATGTGTGCAGCCTTACCCCTGCTCATCTTTGTTTTGATAATCTTATTAAATAGTTTAATTAGCCATACTAAGCATATCTCTCCCATGTCTTTCCAAGCTTTTATTGGGACACCTTTTTGTCCTAAATTCCTAATGCATTTCCCTTCATCTTTTTTAACAAATCCTTTACTTTGGAAACGTCAATTTTACAATGGTACACAACAACATACTGTTTCCATTTATATTGGAGTTCTAGTACAACCTCCATTAGAACCCTCTTTATGTTCATTAAATAAATTTCCTAAAACTTTCAGCTTTTCTTAGTTTCTCCATCTTTTATTAAGATTCTTTAATCTTCCTCTTTGATTCATCTAATATGATTTAAATATTTGTTTGAATGCAGTGCAACCCTAAAATTAGACTTCTGTTTCAGCTGGCAAGTATGTTCTGGTTTTGCAAACATAGGTTCAAAATACCACGAGTTTATATTTTATAATACATGACGGAATCTTCATCCTGTTTATGGTTTCTTTGGCATAACTTTGTTTATGAAGGCCATGTGTTAGATTCCTTGGTTGTCCGGTTGTAACTGTAACACCTCATTCAGTGAACTATATGCCTGGTTTTCTCCCTTTGTGTAAAGATATCTTTGCTCCATTTTCTTCTGATATTGTACAAAACCACATAATATCCCTTTTATTACTTCTATCTCTGGATTTGTCCAGTGGCTTTCTATCCTTTTTCCATTCATCATCATCATTGCCAACATTATTTAAGCCTTGTCCCAGCGATATGGTATTTCGCCATTCTGTTCTGTTCAGTGCCATATCCATTGTTAATTTTTCTTTTTCCTATACTTGAGCTTATTTGGCATTGAATCTGTTATCCAGATCATATCTAATTCTTGGTCTTTTTGACTCCAGGAAACTTGTTAATGGGAGACCAATAAACTTTGAAGAGAATGAGGAAACTGATACTGCTGTATCTCGACTACCGTCTTCTTTACATCCTGAATCAGTGGTCTCTTTCTGATCGTAGGTGGCAATGCCTTTAGTCATTGATGATGCAAGGTTGATTATAGCACTATGCATTCTTAATGGGGTCTAAGTAAAAGTTGTCTGCCATGTACTATTCGGTGTAGTGTAAGTATGCAAGGCTGATTTGGAGGATGTTATTAGACTTCGAACATACTTGGGAAAGCTTAGGTTTTCTTCGAGTTACAATGTTTAGTTGTTTTGCAGTCCAAGAGAGCTTCTTGCTATGTATATAGTAATTGACATGGTTTGTGAAACTATGCAAAGAGGTATATCAGGGTTTCAATCTTTTGAATCTTTTAAACATGGATGATCTGTATAAGATCATCCGATTTTGGTTTCAGTTCATCTATTTTTTCATTTATGATATTTACAATCCAGATGACCATTCCATCTTCAATGAAATTAAATTCTTCAGAGTTTTGCACTACACAAACCATGTGTACTCAAATGTTACGCACAAAAGTACTCATGAACCAATGGCGCTTAATTTAATTGGCTATTTAAGAAAAAAAAGTTAAGTAGTTAATGAATGATTGCTATAATATGTTCCTACGCTAAGTTTGGTTGCAGTGAATTTTATTTACACCAATACAAATGTATGGGAGTTCAAATGAAAATAATGCAAAATGTGGTTTAATCTTATTTTGGATTTTAATTTTTTCCACTTTAGTTCTTATTTTTCTTATGTACTACAATCTAGGGGCGAGTAGTCCGTTTATTTGGTTAAGATCTATGCCAAATGATCTGAAATTATAAAGTTAAAATAAAATATGAAAATCATACTGAAACCTAATTACAGGAAATTTGTTGTGTTATATATACTATATTATATTAATATAAATATATTTTATGTTGTCTTATATATCGGATATTACATATTATATAGAAAATTTGTTTAGTTTTTTTGGTTAACTTTATTTGAAATTTTGAAAACTGAAACTTTAATATTCAATAACTGAATTAACTGAACTGAAATAACCAAAACCTGGAAAAACTGAAACCAAATTTTTTGGTTTTAACTGAATAATGTTCATCCCTACTAGATCCAAATTAAATAAGGTAAACTTTGAAACAAAAATAATTGAGAATTTGCATTTAAATCATTTGAACTACATAGTTTTGCATATGCAAATAAATTTACATTGCAAACAAATGCACCCAAATCATTTGCACACAATTTCTTACTATATTTTCAAGATCTATGCATTCTAAGGGCGGAGGGTGCATTGCCCAGTTATTGTTGTAAAAAATTCTCTTTTTGTCTCAAATCCCAGTTTTTAGCATTTTTTTTTATAAATAAAAACATTAAAAACTGAAAAAAAATAAATTAGATAATATATACAACGAACTGTTGACCTACCTACAACCCAGAGGCAAAAGCGGTTTTTGTCAAAAAAAAAAAAAAAAAAGGCAAAAGCGGTTCAGTCTCCCACTTGTTTTTTAAACCACTGCTTTCTATTGAACTGGACCCAAGGGTTTTCATTGAAATTCTTGTAATCCTCCTAAGCAGCAAAAACTGCAACAAAGATTACGCCTAAGACCTTTTTCCCCGCCTTAACAGATTTCAACTTCTTATCAAATTCCGTAATAACAACTTGTCGAACATCAGTACTTGCTACTTTTAAACTCAATGAAAGACCTGGACCACCTGGAAGAATTCTTAGTAAGGATGGCAATTTCATGAGAATTTTAGGGTATTCAACCTGTCCTGGCCCTAGTATGGCCCGTTTATCAAAACACTATACGGTTTGGGACGAGTTTGAGATTTTATATTAAAACCCTATAGGGTTTGGGTTTTGTCCTCAAGGTATCTGGTCTATCTATCTATCTATCTATCTATCTATCTATCTATCTATCTATATAAATATATATCTATCTATATTTATATATATATATATAGATATATATATATATAGGCATCTTTAGCATTGGCAAAATACACTATTTAGTGAGGGGCATCACATAGGGGTGTTCACGGGTCGGGTTGGGTCGGTTTCTTGGGATTTTCCCAATCGACCCGACCTAGTCGGGTTAGCTAAGGTGGGAACCGAAACCGACCCACTGACAGGCCAAACCGACTTGGTTGGTTTGAGTCGGGTTGGGTCGATTTCGGTTTTGCTCCTGTACAAAGCCAAATAAAATCCGAATTAGTTGATAATTTGATATTCAAGAGTCCAAGATAAATCTAAATTTAATTCAGGTAAAGAATAAAATCAATAAATTCTTCATGTAAAAACAAGTGTCAATAATGGGCCTTCTAGAGTAAAAAACTAGGTAAATCTAGGTAGGTAAATCAATAAAAGAAAAATTTAGAAACCTTCTAAATTCTAATCTAGGTAAAAAACTAAAAAAGGACACCTAATTGAATTCTAATTGTAATTGCCTAATGGGCCTTCTAGAGTTCTAGTTCTAGTAGAAGTCTAAAAGTAGAAGACTATAGGAATTAGGAAACTACTCAAACTAGGAAGTAGGAACTACCAAACTAGTAGAATACTAGTTCGGTTCGGGTCGGGTTGGTTTCGGTTTTTATGCAAGAAAACCGAAACCGACCTAAGATTTCGGTTTATGTATGTGCCCAACCCAAACCGACCGGTACGGATGAAAACCCGGCTGACTCGGGTTAGGTCGGTCCAGGTTGGTCGGTTTGGTCGGGTTGGGCATTCTTATGAACAGCCCTAGCATCACATTTTACTTATGTGATGTAAAATTGGGTGCAAGGTTCAAAGTATTGAATGCAAAGAATATTGAAGATGCAATTAAAAGAAACGTGTTTGGATTATATATATATATATATATATAAGGGAAAATTTAAAATACACATAGATACACCATGGAAATTCAAATATATATTAAAAATATATGAATTTTATATAACCTACACCTCTAATAATTCTATACATAAGAAAAATGTATTTTAATAGTTTATGACTTTATGTGAAGTGTAATTTCATCATAAAAATGAGATGTATAAACCATTAGAATGTCCCAAGCAAACATTGATATATGATGATGCGTGATGTGGTGCTCCCTACTGGCGGACAGCTTGAATATCAAATTGAGTTGGTCGTCTAGTCGAGGTGCAAGAGAGAGAGAGAGAGAGAGAGAGATCAGAGTGTCCGGGTTGCTTGACCCGGGGTGGGTACTCTGATGCTTAAGTTAGTGAAGAGTGTTAAGAGAGATAAAAGCGAGAAAGTTAGAGAGTTGTGAATGCTAAGTTGTGTATAACTTTTCTAAGGAAGGGGATGCCTTTATATAGGCAAGCTGTTGTGAGGTTCATGAAGTGTGTCCGAGATCTCCGACCCATTTGGTTCGGAGGTGATTTCACGCATAGAGGTGGACTCCGCGTAAGCGGGTAGTGTTTATGCAGTCACGCCTAAAGTAGGCGGGGTGATAACTGACTCTTATGATGTGGTGTCTTGATCCCGGGGAAGTCGGAGACAATAACCTGCTTAAGGAGGGGGTCGCCCAACACGTTAGGCAGGTCGCTAGCTGACTCAGGTCAAGTCGGTAGAAGTGGGTCGCCTTTCATGCTGACCCGATATCTTGCCCGGGCCAAGGCAGTTCAGTGGAAGCAAGTCGCCTCTTACATCGACCTCAGATCCCACCTAGCTGTTTGCATTTCGGTCGGTCGGTCCGACCTAGGCACAAGGTAGCGTATTGGGGACACATGGATGCCACAACCATTAGGTCGTGTGGACGTAAAAAATGTGCTAAACTGATCGGAATACGAACCGCCTTACCCTTACAAACCGTTTGATCCACCTAATCTCAATAGTCCATGGTTTGGTTCATCTGCCTATAAATAGGACGCTCGAGGGCCTATTTTTCTCGTCCCTATCTTTGGGGTTCCTGGTGAGATCGTGGAGCTCGGCATTATCGGAGTGATTGGTATTGTCAGCTAGGTCAGTATGTTCATCTAGTAGTGAGTCCAGGGAAGAGGGGGGTCCGTCCTGTCGAGCCAAGGAAGGGACCTCGACCCAAGACTGGCGAGTTTCTCATAAAAGGGCCTCGTCTTCACATAGGCTAAAGCACCAGACCAGTTCAGTCCCTTCGAGCTCTCTACTGACAACGTCTACGAGCTTACAACTCAGTATAAGATTCCGAATCAATTCAGATACTCTCTTCCTCTTGAGGGGTACTTGTGGGAGCATGGGGATGACGAGATCGCTATCTTCGAGGAGGCCCTAGAAGTGGGTCTTTGGTTTCCCCTTCATTTGCTTATTCCCAAGGTACTAAACTATTACAACATTAGTTTAGATCAACTTCATCCCAACTCCATTCGGACCCTGATCAGCACCATCTCGTTCTATCACCACGTCGGCTTCCCTTTAGATATTAAGACCTTTGTCGATCTGTGCCATATAAAAAGAACCCTTCCAGCACTCCACTGACCTGGGTGTAAGTTGTTGAACGGATTTCCCTCCAACGTACCGGCCTGGAAGTAGAGCTGCAAATGGATCAGATTGGATTCAGTAGGGGCATATCCGATTCGACCCGTTAAGAAAATATGACTGATCCAAATCCGATAAGGATTCATCGGATTTTCAAATGTATGATTTGAATTCGAATTTGAATATATTATTGGATATCCGATTCGATTAAAATTATATTTATAAAATAATATATTATATTATTTATATAATATAAGAATATATTAAAATATATAATATATAATATATAAAATATACATATATAATATGTGAATAATATATAATATATAATATCTCATAATTAACGAATCGGAGTGGGTCATAATGGATCGGATAAATCAATATCCAAATTCGATTCGTTAAGTTAACAGATCGGCTTTTCCGATCTGATCCGATTTGTTAGGATCAGGAGGGATATCTGAATCCGCTTCTTAACAGATCGGTATCAGATTCAGATCGGATCTGATCTGACTTATTTGCAACCCTACCTGGAAGAGGAAGTATATCTTCCTTGAGTTAAGTAGCGGATGGCCATTCTTGATGACCTGGAGAGAGGGAGTGAGGGACTTTGGGGAGGAAACTCTAAGTGAGCGACTGCAGGCAAGAGTGTAGGTCCAGGCATGGATGAGTCCTCCAGGTAGGTCGTCACCTCAGGCTTGGGCATTCTTCTTTACTTTCTTTTCTTTTTATAGTTCGACTCACCCTTGATTTCTTATGTAGGAGACATGTTGGGCATGCCAACTTCCAGGCTGTTCCAAGCCATGAAGAGGAAGGTGGCTTACCAAGAGGCATCGTAGGTCGCTACTCCAGAGGCTGCCATGCGAATTACTGAGATTGTGTCGGTTGTCGACCTAGTCGAGCGAGACCAGCTAGGAAGGACCTTGCTAGAGCCTGAGGTCACCCATATATC